CGCCATGGAGGAGAGGAGGACCGGCCAGCTCCTAGCATGAGACCGACACACGGGCGTGAGTGAGCGGCTCGCTATACAAGCGCGGGCGAAGGGAGCCACGAAGCCACAAGGGGCGCACAATAGGGAGGCGTCCGACGCGCAGGGCCGCTCAGGAGGGCAGCGGGCGCAGAGGGCGGTGCAGTGGCGTGGGAGGGCGGCGCGGTGGAGCACAGGGTCACACGAGCGGCGGTGGGCCGGCGCATGAGGGCACGCGAGCGAGCGACGCGGTGGCGCGGGAGGGCATCGTGGTGGCGCGCAGGGCCGCGCCAGCGGGCAGCGGGCCAACACGCGAGTGGTTTGTGGGCTGGCGCGTAGGGGCGCGCGAGCATGCGGCGCGGGTTCATGATGGCTGCACGATGCGGTGCACGGATCGGTGGGATTGGTCTGAGGTAAGGAAACCCTAGCGCTCTGATACCATGTTAGAGAATGATCAACCAGCTCTATTGCAAGGCCCAAGAGGGCAAGTATACACAATGTACATATGCAAAGAAGCCCTCCAAGTAGAGGGAAAACACATACACCTCCTATACATCTAACAGTATATGGGCGTGATCCTCCTTCACTATGCTCATATGAACCGGGAGAAGCTCAATTGCCAGCTGTCGACCAACAACTCAGGGAGCGTGATGAGTTTTCTGGTGGAAATCCATGATAGATTGGAGTAGGCGCAACAGTACCATAAGGTTTAGTATGATAAACATCATCGGGAAGTCGTCTTCCAAGTTGGTGACTGGGTACGGCTTAGGCTCATGCAGCGCCCCGTAGCATCCATGGATGTATGCACTTGCAGTAAGCTCAGGCCGAAGTTCTATGAACCATGCCAAGTCATATAGCACATTGGAGATGTGACATATCGGCTCTAGCTACTAGCAGGAGCCAAATTTCACAATGTGTTCCATGTAGGCTTGCTAAAGCCACACTGGGGAGAACCGCCAGCAACAACAGCACTGCTACTATAATCAGCAAGGGAAGAGCATATCCAAAACCACAAATGGTGATCAAAGCTCGTATAGCCAGAGGTAATCAAGAAGTGTTGGTGAAGTGGAAGGGGTAGCCAATGTCCAATGAATCATGGGTTCCCATGACAGAGTTTCGCAGCTTGTACCCAATGTTCAAGCTCAAGGATGAGCTGTTTATGCAGGCTAGAAGATATGTCATGTATGGGTGATCCTATGCCAGGCATCGGGGAAAAGCGGTTGCAGCAGGAGAGGAACCGTGAAATCACACATAGATCGGTTTGTTCCTTCCCTTCACTTTCCTTGTCCTTTTGCTTGCAAGCAGCCTTATTGGGCAACGCCTTGCGGCCGTGAGTTCAGGTTAGAGAAGGCAGTTCATCACAAACACCCACCACCATCACAAACACCCACCTTTGACTTTGAGTGGCTATCCTACACACATCCAAGGTTCTAGGATTCAAATTGCAAAAAATTCAGAGCCTACCGAATTGGACGAAATTCAGAAATTTTGGAAAATTCGGACTAGGATTCACTTGAGTTGACTGGTCAAAAAAATTGTATTTGACAAAATTTGTCCAATTTTAAAAAATTTTTTAACTCAATGCATTTGCAGTAGCATCACTGATGCTTACATGATTGCATCGAACTACTCCTGTCCGTCATCCCATGGTTACATGACGACTTGAATGCCGGCGGCGCCGCCGCTACAGCACAGTCATCACACACACTGGAGGTCGCGGTTCCATGACAACTTGACCGCTAGCACCGCTACTGCCGCACAGTGGCTGGCTAGATGCACACACAGGAAATGGTGTCCGCATAGGCTCCCTTTACACGAAGGGCACAAAATTGCACTACAAATCCGATGGATCGAATGGGGGATTTAGAAAGGAAATGGTGAAGAGCTGCTACATGACTGGCAAGGAAGTGCGGCCAAGGAGATCTCACGCTTGGTCAGCCGTCGCTAGGTGAGAGAGGGAGGAGAAAAATAAAAAACTAAGGTTTCTAATGTGTGCTCCGCGCTTTTATGTTGTGGGAGGTATTTTGCGAGCTGGTTGACATATTCTGCTGCACTTAGAATTCAAATTGGGCTGAATTTTTTTGACCGATCCAATATTATCTTGGGCCCAACCAAAATGGATGAAATTCGGTGAGATTTGGGACTTTCGGGCCGACTCCCAGAACCATGCACACATCTACTGTGCTTTTTTGGGTACATGGCACGGTATACCACTCTAACTCATGGTGGCTATCTATGCCTGAATTGTGTATGGTTTTGTGGAGGGGAGCACCCCTGTATATAGTTCTAGGTGAGCCATAGACAACATGACAAGTGTCCATGCTCTAGGATCTTCTAAGGTTCTACACTCTTTTGTATTTATCATCATATGAACCAAGTTCTATAATGCTCTAAGAGAAATATCTCATACCCATGATGGAGAAGATTCTAGGTCTTTTGTCTTCTTTAACACTCCATCTCCATGGTAAATATCTTCTCTATGGTACTGTTCTGGTATGCATTGATATTTTCAACAATAACCAATGGCCATCATACAAGATACGCCATTTGTTTTTATATATGGCCTATCTAATACTAATATTAAATTTGAACAAAGTTTGTTTACGACTCTTTGCGGCCTTGTGTCTCTATCTTGTTCTCTTCACCTATGAAAGACTAAAATTGAACTATGGATGGCTTCTCACCTTTTTTTTTTTTATGAAAGGCACATGTTGCATCAACAAGGAAGTAGTTTTTACAATAGAGCATCTCAAGTAGTAGGAGATCTAATAATATCCGAAAGCAATAACAATTTGATATAAACAACCTTTCCAAGCTAGACAATAATACAGCTGACCAACACACCGATTCACTAGGATAGTCATATGAACCTAAGACACTTGCTTACTCCACACAATAACCATTGCCCAAACCGTATTGCGTTACACTGCAACATGTTATATTGCTTTGAGGGATGAATTTCTTTGTTGTAGCTTTCTCGATATTAGTTGACCAAAGTTTTATGTCTTTTCAACAAATAGTTTATTTGAGAACAACTTAGTTATCCTCATACTATGGATCTGCTCTTCAATACTTTTCTTTAAAAAAACATCGCAACAGAAAAGTTAACCCCTTCTACTTATTGCTTGCTTATCAACAGTAATATCATCATCTTCTTCTAGAATCCAGTCTTACAAAACAACTGATTCATATACCTCTCACCTTTATAGTTAAACAATATATTAAATGTTTCACGAAGTGCATCAGGGCCCATTCTTGTTCTACGAACTTTACCATTTGGGCAAAGAATGAATAATTCCTTTTGATGTTTATCACTTTAACCTTTCCAAGCATGTAAGACATACAATGCTTTATTCTCCGTGCGTTGCATCGGGGGCCACAATTTTTTGTATTGGACCTTAGTAATTAGATGCGGTCATGTGGGCTCCGAGGACTTCGTATCAGATGCAGACATGTGGATCCGGTCTTTGTATCGAAATCGAGTAGGACGTGGACACATGAGCTCTGAGTGAAGAATGATTCGTATCGTATATGGACACGTGAGTAGGGATCAAGATTTGGTAGATGACGACTTTAGAGTCTTTTTAGGTGTAGATTTCAACCCAAGGAATCCTTCTCTCTAGTCTTTTATGTATAAATAACTTCCTACTAATATTAGGGTAACTGATCTGCCCTCAAATTTGTGTGTTATATATCTTTTGAAACTAACCAAGCAGTAGAGCTGCCGATAAAGAAGACAGTTCAGACAGACAGGACAAACAACATCTCTAGAAGGAGTTTACAATAGACAAACAAAAAACAAGCAACTACAACAACTAAGACAACTCTGGTAACAACAACCAACTCCATAAATTTGAGTGTTATATAAAATGTTCCCCTAGTGGAGTCGTGGAAGCAAAGACTCTGACTCCATAATACCCAAAAACCATTATGCATGTCATATTTTAAACACCATATTGAATAGCTCCAATCCTAGTTTGGAAACTTTTTAAGCACCTATCACTAGATCCATTCTCAGATTTATCTAAGCGGACAATGACTTTATTGCTAACATTCATCTTTTGAACAATATCCAAAAGTTTTTGTTGAAGAAAAACTGTGGGGAAGTTGTGACTGAACAAAAGATATTTATTAACAGATCACTATCAGAAACTTTTTGCCAAAGGGTTTTCCATCAAAGAATTATAGGTTCAAACTACAATAAATTAGCATGGAGTTAGATATAATAAATTATATTATACAATAAGCAAAAAATATGACTCTATTGACAATAAACAAACAAATTATGATATATTGTTAATCATAATAATAAAAGAAAATTTCCTTAGGCCAAGTTCTTGCCACATGAATTGATATACAAGTATATGCATAATTCCTACTAAGAAAATTAGGGAGCACAACATGAACATGAGATTTAGGCAAAATAAAGCAAAACTTTGACAACTTTATGATCTATTTTAACCAACCCCATGCATTAGCTTTCTTCTTTACTAAACCACATAAGTACAAGCTCTGTTGTGAACTTCTGGTTGTGCCTCAAAGAAAAGGAAGTTCACGCATTAAAGAAGTATCGCAAGCAGCATGCAAACATTCTTGCAATAGTATATGCAAAGTACTTATTAATAGTAGTATAATAAGAAGCACACTAGTACAAATCAACATAACATGTGATATGACGCACAATATCACACACATTACAGACATCATTCAACAAACATGAACACAAGGGAGAGAGGGAGTGACCTACACACTAGAGCTAACATGACTACTCGCTAGAGGATGGGTTACGGGTAGCATACGACTTCAATGGCCCTCGATAGAGTGGGCTTACTCAATGAAATAAACAAGTATGACCAAACAAATAGCCCTATTGTGCGCCTATCCCAAAGCAAGGCTTCATCTATAATCTTCTGCATAAGAACTAAAGCAAGGCTTCATCTGAAATCTTCTGCACAAGACCCATAGATGGTAGCGAGCATCGTGCCATGGAGACACCAGACCACGAAGGAGGCATCGAGGTCAAGGCCTTGCCACTCGAAATGGATGTAGATGGTAGACATTTTTTAATGATGATAGATGGTAAACATATCTACTGAAAATCATAAACATTCAAAGAGCACAACATGCAAATAAGATTCATGGAAAAGACAGTATGGGCCTGTGATAACTTCACGATCCATTTTATCTGACCCCACTAAACAGTAAGCTTCTACTCTTTACTAAACCAAATAAGCTACTACAGAAATGTATCATGTTGATTATGCAAAAAAAAGATACTACAACGGTAAGCAGCTTACATATATTCTCGCACTATTGTCTTTAGAAACTCATGCGGAATGTAGAATAGAATAGCTAGCAAAATATTTCTGCCTCTTGTGAAACAAGATACTAGTGTAGTACTAACTCTTGCTTAAACACCTAGAGATTTCTCCCCTAAAAACAACAAGATATTTTAAATGAAAATGCTACTAACTATGAAAACTACCATTCCACAACAGAATGATCGGTCAACTAAAAATATATTTGATTTGGGTTGTGATACCTCTGTAGCAACCTTGTAAAATCATTACTTCTGAGCTGCTACAATAAACGGCATATGAATCTAACTACTGTCATTCAAAAGTCTAGGCAAACACACGAGGGCAACATATGAACTCATTGGACCAAATTTAGAATACTAGAAGCTTTCATTCAGATGGAAGATGTCCATCCACAGAGCCACCCAAGACCTCCCTAAAAGCTTTCTAAGTATGGTACAAAGCAACAACTATATGGAGGATCGGGCATCCTCGACCTTGGCTGCTTCAGCCAGGCACTCCTTAGGTAGCTCTAGTTCGAATGGCCTGAGGAAGGGTGCCCTTGGGTGAGAACTAACCCGCCATGTGACAACACCGATAAGCAATTATTTAGAGCAAGCATGATCGTCAACGTTGGTCGGAGAGATGAGACAAGATTTTGGCATTCTTCGTGGCTAAATGGAAGAGCCCCAGTGGACCTTGCTCCGAACTTGTACCCTTGGGCGTGGCGTAAGAATAAGTTCGTTAGGGAGGATCTGGCCAATGATCATAATTGGACAAGAGGATTTTGGATAATGGAGATAGTACAACATATGGTTGAATTTGTTCAACTTTGGGACCTCATTCATCAGATTCATCTTTTTGATCTGGATGACACAATCACTTGGAGGTGGATGGCAAACAGAGAATGTACCGCAAAACCGATCTGGATGACACAATCACTTGGAGGTGGATGGCAAACAGAGAATGTACCGCAAAACCAACCTATCTTATACATGTTAAAAGGCTCCTTCCTGCCCTTTCAATGCAAAATGGATCTGAAGGGCACGTGCGGAAGAAAAGCACAAATTCTTCACCAAACTCTTGGTACAAACAAAGATCTTAACATTCGACAAACTGGCACTGAGGAATTAGCCTCGTAACCCAATATGTGTTCTATGTGATCAAGCTCTAGAAAACGACACACTTATGTTTGTATTGTCCTTTTGGTAAAGAGGTATGGACACTTATGAGTTCTTGATGAGTGGGGCCACTTAGGTTCCAGACAACAAAGACTGTTGGTGGCTATTCTCATGCATACAAGTTGGAACGTTTGGAAAGAAAGAAACCGAAGAATTTTCGATAGACGAGAGCTAACACCAGTCCATGCATTTGGGCTTATCAAGGAGGAGATGGACCTAAGATGGCAAGCGTCTGGTCAATCGACTCTAGATTAAGATGAATCTTTTTATGAGCTTGTGTAACCTAGTTTTATTCATGTAATAAAATTTTGTAAAACTTGCATGCTTCCACTCCTTAAATGATATGACAGTGTTCCTGCCATTTTGTTTAAAGAAAAAATATATTCACAAAAAGAAGGCACAAAAGAGCCCTAATTTTTTCTTAAAGAATGGACGGAAGCAAATGCAATTCGTGTCGGAACCCAATGCCTCCCGGTCCTCGCCACAGTCGTCGTTAATAGGGTGTTTGGTTTGAGGATCGACTCCATCCTAGATGAGGTGGTACATCGTGAGTTGATTTCTCAAATTTGGTGAAATTGCTTTATTCCTAATAGTAGTAGTAATTATTGACTTATAAGGAACGAGACGTCGATGCATCGTTCTATTCTATTTCACAAACTAAATAAATAAATAAATAATGAATAGATGACGGACTAACTCGTTTTCAAGCGAACACCCTCTACATCTTTAATTCCCCGTACCAGTACGATGCGAACCCAACCACTAGAATCTGATAAAAAAACAGCAGTACTCCGAAACCCCCCAACTCAAACAGATCACGGCCCAAACCAGACCACATGGAGCGGCCCAAATTCGACCAAGCAAGCAGTTGGGCTGGGCACCTGCGCTGCGGTCAGCCGGTCACAGCCTCGCGGCGCCGCCCGAACCAGCGCCGTCGCTTTCGATCCCCGGCCGCCTCCACCTCTTCTCCCACAGCGCCGGCGCCCTCCTCTCTCTCCTCTCCTCTCTCGCCACGCTCCCTCCGTCCTCGGCGTCGACGGCTAAGAAACCCTAAACCCAGGAACGAGTTCCCAGCCCTCGGGGACCTCTGGCGATGCATCTCACTCTCGAATTCGGGTAATCCTTCTCTCTCGACCTGTCACTTTCCCCCGGATTCCTCTCGCCTTTGTGCGTAGCGCTGCGCTCCCGCGGTCCCTGACGAATAAAAGCAACCGCTGGTTGGGGTTGCAGGGGCGGGCTGGAGCTGCTCCTGGAGAACTCCACCAAGGTGCACAAGGTGGAGGTCACCACGCCCAAGGATGGCCAAGGCAAGGTGACGATGAAGTTGTTGCTCTCTTGGGTCAAGGACAATCTGATCAAGGAGCGCCCGGAGATGTTCGTCAAGGGCGATTCCGTGTATGTGTTGTTTCGCTCCCCTCTCTCTTCATTGACTTGTGTAGGTAGTATGATTAATATCCAATGGGCACTGAGACCAGAGAGATTGTGCGCCAAGCTCTTGGTATGCTTTGGTTGCTGCCACCTCTCTTATGATGAATGGCAGTTTCCTCATGGTTAACTAGTGTGGATTGATACTTAGTTCCTAGTACCAGTTAACTGTGGCTTGTAGTCTGCAACTGACTCCAAGATTTGATAAATCCAAATTATTTCTAACTCCCCTGTGGTTTAATTTGACAATCAACACCAACTAATTGTGCTGTGGTTTTTACTAATGCCTAGAGAGGGGTATTAATCAAAATTCACACCAACTAATTGTGCTGTGGTTTTGACTAATGCCTAGAGAGGGGTATTAGAGCTTGAAAGCACAAACCATTTACAAAACCAAAAAAGAGCTCTTCTCATGGGCTGCAGGTGGTGCAAAATATCTGGGAGCCTTTCAGTCCTGAGCTAAGGTAGGCTTTACTAGCTGTTATTGTTTCTTTCCTATTGCTTATTTCGAGACCAGTATCCCTAAGAGTGGCATTTTTTCCGCCCCTAAGAGAGTACATTCATGTGTCTTGTGATGTAGCAAATCAACGTGTTCCTTCTCTAAAATAAATATGCATGGTCCTCCCATGTATTCAAGGAAAAAGAAGGAAACACTGATCAAACTTATTGAATGTGTTGATTGCAAGCAAAAGCGAACTGCCATGAATACCTTCTTGCCTTTTTTATTTAACTTTCTTTCTTGCTAATGAAGTTGTATAAACATATAGGTTACTTTTTATTGGTGCAGACGTGTGTATGCTTTTAGTGCAGTAATTTTGGAGAGCATTCGATATATTTCAAAATGTAACGAGATAGAGATTCAGAAAATTTCTTCTTTTCTGAGTTCAGGCTCAACCAGATGTTTAGTTTTCATGGTTTTTTCTTCCTTCATGTATGCAGGAGGCCTGGGGTTCTTGTCCTTATAAATGACTGTGATTGGGAGCTGTGTGGTGGCCTTGATGCAGAGTTGGAAGAGAAGGATGTTGTGGTTTTCATCTCCACTTTGCATGGTGGTTAGTTTAATTATCAGGATGATACCATAATATGTTTTTTCCTGAAAATTGCATCTTGTATCAAGTTGGAAGGGATGGATTGATCCGAGTTTAAATTTCTGGAGATACTAATTGCAAATTGTGGAACTGGACTTGATGCCAATATCATCAAATTACAGTTCCATTTTCTTACTGGAACACAGACACATAATATAGTACACAACCGATCCTGTATTTTTGCAATACTACTGTGGTTTTCCTTCGTTTGCTGTATATACATAAATGAAAGGTCAAGTGCACTATTTCTAACCATTGTTCATTCATGTCAAGTGATGGAATATTCGCTGTCCCCCTGTGGATTTACAAGTGCTGCCCTCACTCCACGATTCATGTCATTCAAGAAGATCACCCGGTATTTTGGCAGCCTGCAAAGAAGCATACTTGTTGGAAGTACAGGGAATTTGGTTCACGAGTCTCTTCATATTTGGGCATGTTATGCGAATAGGAAATGATCCAACTCGGGCGTCTGTCCGTGACTCACGCCGCTCCCCAGGAGCGGGCCTCAACAAAAAAACAAAATCCCTCACTCCCTCTTATCCCCCCTCACCCACCCGCGCCCCAACTCTTTCGTGCTTATCCGCCAGGCCCCGAAGTAGCATGGCTGCTCATTGTCCGTGCCCCTTCCCCTACCGCGCCCCATCGCCGGCCGTGCCGCGCACCTGTCCTAGACACCTGTGCCACTCGCTCCCTCGCCGTTTGACCATCCGTCTCTGATCGTGTGCTGTGGCGCCTCAGGTCTTCCCCGGCCGCGCAAGGGCATGCACGAGCGCGGGCGGTGCTGGTGGTGCTCGCGCGTCGTAGCTCGCGGCCGACTCTAACCCCGACAGCCGAAATCGACCAGCCCGGCCTTCCCCTCCCCTATATTGAATATATATGTTTCAAGTGTTTCAGACGTTTCAGATATATGTTGTAATTGTTTTATCTTGATGTTGCAAAAAGTAGATTGAGGGATGTTGCACATGTTGCATATGTTGCAAGTGTTTTCAGAGGCATATTGCAAGCGCTTGTTCAAAATGTTTCATCTATTTCTAGACGTACGCTGAAATCATTTTTTTATCTCGATGTTGCATATGTTGCAACAGTATGTTTCCAAATGTTTCAATTGTTTTAGTCTTATGTTGCATCAAGTGGTTTAATAGTGCAAGTTGCAAGTGTTTTATTTTTTGGATGTTTCATATGTTTCACACACATGTTGTAAAAGCATGTTTCATCTGTTTTTAGTCTTATGTTGCATTCATGTTAAGTGTTTTATGTTGTTTGGCCAGGGGCGAGCCGGGGCAGCCATGGACGGGTGTTGTTGATCGGGCACGCTGGGCGCGTCTTGTCCTCACCGCTCATCCCAGCTCCCGAAAGTGCCACCAGCAGAGAGAGGAGGGGGTCAAGGCGACGCGGTGCGCAGAGATAGGGGCGGGAAAGCTGCGTGGGGCGGGCGGAGGCGGAGGGGGGGTTGGGGGGCTGGGGGCCTGTGACTGGGAGTTGAGTCACGGTTCAGTTTGCTGGGATTGGAAGTTGCGTCGTCGCCGGACGTCCAGGCACTAGTGCCTCCGTTTGCGAATAAGTAATCCTACATTGCAAATGTGAAGGTTACTGATAAGCACGTGAGAGAATCTGAAGGGCGAGTGAGCATGGCAGCTGTTTTTACTGATAATGATATCAGAAAAAAAAAATAAAGGGCGCACATAAGGCTTCTAAAACTTTGTGCTCAAAAGGTGATGATAACAATCCATTTACATGGCTGCTCCCTGTTTTCTAAGCTTTCGTTTTCTTTCAACCAATCTTTCATGGCAGTCCGAGGAAGATTTTTTTATGCTAATGATATAGAATTCGTCTACCATAATATTACCCTGTTCGGCTTACCCCATATTCGTCTTGTTCGGTTTTTTTTTTTAGCCGGAACAGTATTTTTCTCTCACAATAATTTAGCCGGAAACCGTGTTTTTCAGCCAGTTTCAGCCAAGTTTCAAACCAGCGAACGGGGCCGTGACAACTACAGGTTTAACAAATAGGAAGTGTTCTCTATCAATCACACAATCCATTGCTAAGCCTCTCTCGCCTTAGCAAATCTGTTCGTAGTTGCCGTCTCCAACACGAGACACACAGTGTACTTTGGTCTTTGGCCATGTACCAAACCACATCATTTCGACTGAACCAAAAGTGCCCAACATACCACACTTGCACCAATCCAAATTGGATGTTTAATTAATCTTCTTCCGTATTTCTGTTTTTTTTATCAGTTCTTCCCTATTTCTGTTAGCCATGATTCGAACATGTTGGTAAAACTAACAGGAGTTTTTTTTTTAACTTCCATGCCAAATCCTTCGGTCCTCTGAACTAAGTCATCTTTTGTGAGAACGACGCTTTTTTTAGCTTAAAAACCTGAATGTTTAGGCCTGGTTTAGTTCACGAAATTTTTTTGGGGTTTATCTTGCTTAAAAATAGTGTCTTGACTATGTTTTCCCCACCAAACTGTGCAATTAGTTTTTTTTTAAATCTACATTTAATCTTTTCCAGCGATGCGATCATGTAGAAGAATTTTTGGATTTTGAAATTGAACTAAACAAGGGCTTAGAGGTATGTAGTTTCAAGTTCCAATCAAAGCAACTATCCATGGACCATGACATCTCACGATCTAGAATTGCCTTGCACATCGAATTGACATAAAGTTGTCCAGTGTGGTTAAGCGACCACAGAGGGCTGACACAAGTTTCTTGCCTTTCACACGGACGGATGTGACCAAGTGCGTGACGTACTGGTACTGACGTCTAAGCAGCCACAAGTGCGTGACGTCTAAGCAGCTGACACATGCTCTCTGAAATCGGAGCCGTCCTGACGTCTAAGCAGCTAGATGAGCGCCTTGTTTAGATGCCATTCAAATTCTAAGTTTTTTTCATTCTCTCTTTATTACATCAATTTTTAGCTGCTTTTTATGGAGTATTAAATGTAGGTAAAAAAATAACTAATTATACAGTTTAGTTGGAAATCACGAGATGAATCTTTTGAGTCTAGTTGGTCCACGATTGGACAATATTTACCAAATAAGACGAAAATGGTATTATTTATCGGGTTCACTTTTTTTGCAAAGTGAACGAGGCCGAGACTTGTAATAATTCTCTCTGATTCCGCGTGATTCTGAGCATCCAGCGTGTCTGAGGTGGTACATTCTTGAAGATTAAATTGTGGGAGTCCTGAACAAGATGGTTTTCTTCGAAGCATCTTCATGATCCCTCCTGCTAGGATCAGGGACGCATCTACTCCTATATTGCCAAACGAAAAACTTACTTATTATTACCATCAAATTTTCATCATATATGCCGGCGGGTGGCTAGACAGACACCGAGTGCCGCACCCCTCTCTTTTGCATTGGGAATTGCTAGCGCTCGGATGTCCGATGGGATGGATTTCGTCGAACTGTAACCTGGGCACACTCCCACCGAAATGTTGTAGCAGAACGGTCCATCAGAAAAACTCTATCGCGTGACCCCGGCTTCCTCGGTCGCCAGCCCGCCCGCCCGCGCCTGCAGTTGCGCTGTTTGTTGCTGCACGCGCGCGTCCGTCCCCATCCGCCTCGTCCCGTCCTGCACGCGTACCCCGCCCCTAACCGCCTAGCCCACTCCGTGCCCGCCGCTCCTCCCCTTGACCCCCTCCTCTCTCCACGTGGGCGCGACCCAGGAGCTGAGATGAGGACGAGCACGCCCCATCCGCAGGACCCTAGGCGTGCCGCGCGCCCCATGCACCGGCCCGGCTCACCGTGCCCCTTCCCTCGGCGCCCGGGCTGTGCCCCCATGACTCTCTGAATATACCTCTAAAACACGAAACACTTGCAACATAAAACACTTGAATGCAACATACGTCTGAAGCAAATGAAATATTTGGAACATAGACTTGCAACATGTGTGTGAAATATATGCAACATTGTCGGCCCCTCAATTTGAGAGTCCTAAATGCATCCGTATTTGCGCCAGGATCACGCACAAATACGCACAAAATCACAAGAATGGTACATATATATATAATAAAAGGTTCCGAGTTTTATTGATATCAAGAAATAAGGTCTTACAATAGTGGCCCAAAGGGACATGGTCATAGGCTATATATCTAGCGGAATACTACGGCCGTGAAACGACATTATTGGTGGTTTCTAGAGCGGAATTATTATACAACGAAGCGGTGTCCTGTTCCACAGGCAACTTGAGCGTGGTCGAAACCCTAGCCTCGATGTCATACTCCTACAAACGTATTTCCTTGCGGGAATCCTAATCCTCGTGGTACGTTTCATCGTCGAAGTCATAGTCTTCTTCCGTGCCGAAGGTCAACAACGGGTGGGTACATGCGTACTGAGAAAGCCCTAACCATAGGGTGGAAATAGAAGTGTAGTGGTGATTATAATTAAGGGTTAGGTCCTAGAGGAGTTTTACCATTCCCACTAGTCCCCAAGTTAGCATCAATTCCAATACCAGTTTCATTACACATAAAAGTAAATCTAATCATAGTATCTCATCCTAGCATTTGCCCATTCTAAGGACGTGGCTATTCGAATAAGTTTAAGTAACTATGCAGAGATGTACAAATTTTCCCACATGATAGGTGCAACCTCATCCATGATCAGTGGACGAAATAGACCTAACGAGACCTCGTACCCGAATGTACGCGACCTTAGATGTCCATATAACTCTACTACGGCTTCTCAGAGGTTGAAAACACAAATACCAGGAAGATACCTAATCGTCCCAACGTGATGATACCTAATCATCACAAAAACAACATGGCTTGAACACGGCCAAAAAAAATCATGGGCTCGAATGCGTCCAAAAACCAGAAGCTTAACGTGGAAGATCACATAGCATCCATGCCAACCGGACCACGGAAGAAAACCTATCCCCCGTGTCGGCTCCTGATATTCCGTTGCTTACACCACCCTCCTAGTAGAAATTATACTTCTATCTAACGGAGTTTGAGATCAAGCCTA